GGTACTTTTGAATGCTGGTTCAGTTTCTTTAATGGTTGTTGGTGTATTTGGGATTTTTTAAACCTTCTTGAGTTGATGTTGGTAGTCTATATTTTTCCAGAAAATTATTCATTTTATCTAAGCTTTTGAATTTGTTGACATAAAGTTATTCATCGTATCTGCCTAATTTTATTTTGTTTTATTTATTATTTATTATTATTTTTATTTATTATTCCACCCATTGTGGAGCCTAATACAGGGCTTGAACTCAGGACCCTGAGATCAAGACCTGAGCTGAGATCATGAGTCAGATGCTTAATTGCCTGAGCCACCCAGGTGCCCCTATTTTATTTTATTTTATTTTATTTTATTTTATTTTAATTTCCCTCATTAAAACAAATCTCAGCTATACGTCTGTTTCTATTCCTATCACTGTTTATGTTCTTTTCATACCCTTTTGTAAGAACTGTTTATCTTCCATCAACCTTCTTTCCATTTTGTTTGCCTGTGTGGAAGAGTAGCTTAAGGTCACTCAGGGGTTGCTCCTACCCATTCAGTGGCCCAAGCAGTGGAAGCTGCAGACCAGTCTTCAGTGGCCGGCAGGGCACTCCAGTCTTCAGCAGGGAGCTGCGGAATAGGCACAGAGGGTACCTGCCCATCTTCGGACGAGTCTGCACCTTCAGGTTGAGTAGCAGTGGACTCAGGACCTGGAGCAATCCACTCACCCTGAAATTCCTCCTGGGTCACAGCCTTTTCAGCAGCGGCCTGCTCTTTTCAATCTCTTCAGGATCTCTGTAGACGTAGAGATCAGGCACAACCTCCCATGGGTGTTCCCTGGAAATGGTGCCACGCATGCTCAGAATTTCCCTGGGGCCAGCATCCACCACATCATACCTGCTGAGTGAGCTCTCTTGTTGTTGCAAGGGATGGCAATGTCCACATAGCCCAGGGTAGAGTCTGTGTTACACAGAGCAATGGTGGGCAGGTTAACATCAGCCACTCTGTGAGAGGCTGGTGGTCAGCCCTGGGATCTGTAACCACCAGAAGGCTGGGCTCCTAGAAGGCTGCCTGGATCTGGTTCCTGAGGCTTCCAGGAGTGAAGCGGCCAGCAACAGGAGTGGCTCCAGTAGGAGCAGCAAATTTCAGCACAGCTCACTGGCCAGCATTCCTGGACAATAGGACACTGACATCAGCTGGGTTTTTAATGGCAACAATGACATGTACTGCCAGCAGAAGCTTCTCCCAGGTTCTCCTCAGAATCATGACATAGATGCCGTCACTTCCCCTTTTATAGATGTACTGTTCCATTTGGAAGTCAAGGTTGGTGCCACCTAAGTGGGTTCCTGCTGCAAGGAATTTAAGGACCTCCTCCTCCTTCATTTGCAGGACACTGAGAGCTCCAGACATTGTAAAAGTTTCCCTTTAAGTTATCATGGGAACGCAGAACAACACCGTATGGACCCCTCTCTGGGGAGTGTGGAAAAGCTCCATCCATTTTTAAATCTTGCTAGAGGCTTGTCTGTTTTAGTTGTTTAATTAAAAAGCCAGTTTCTGTTACTTTGTAATATTATTTCTCCTTTAACTTGGTTTTCTATTTTGCTCATTTTCATTAATTGTAATTTTTTTCTCTGTTAAAAAAGTAGCAATTTTCTCGGCCTTTTGGCTAAGATCAAGTGTAGTATCTGTTCTTATCAGTTTAAAAAAGTAGCAATTTAACATAAGCAGTAGTTCATTGCATTTGCCAGTGAATTTCATGAATTTTTGTGCTGTCTGTTTCTCATTTCTCATGCCTTTCTTTCTTGTCCACTTCCCTCTGACATTGAGTATCTACTGGTAATAAAGTCTTTCATTTGTTGTACATCTGAAAAATACCTTTTGCCTTGACTGCTGAATGATAGTTTAGCTGGGTATAGAATCCCATGGAAGGTGTTTTTAAGAAGATTTCTTTGCTGTGCTTATTACATTTTATAATTATATACATTATGTGATTATTTGAAAAATGTCCATCTCCCACCAGAATGATTTTCCTGTTTTGTCCACCACTGTGTATCCCAATCTCTAGAACAATGCCAGGCACAAAATAGGCACTCAATAAACAGTACTGAATGAATGAGTGAATGAATGAATCCCTCACTAGGTTTTCTGTTCTCCGAAGGCAAGGTGGGTGTCTCACTGTTCAGGGCTGGGTTCCAGTGACTTGCCTAGTGCCTGACATAGTAGGAACTAAATAAACATCTCCTGAAGGAATAAATGAATTCATGCAAGTTCTAAAACCAAAGACCAAGAATAGTACTCTTAGAAACTAGTGCCTTCTGAAAAAGCAACCTTTGGAGTCTTCTAAGCCCACATTTTCTTTTTAAAATTTCTCCCCTGGGGTTACCTGCAAGGCAGTTGGGGACAGAGAGGGGGCTTTCATGAAAGCAAGGCCTTCCTTGGATTGTTCCCTTTTACCAAATCTGCACAAACCTTCAAAGACCTGTTTCTGGAAAGGATAATGTTTTCCAGCTTAACAGGGACACTGGTTGAGACCTTGCTTCTGAACAGACTATAACGCATCATCACTGATGGCTCCTTTAAGAGAAAAGTGTGTCACAACAGCAAAGATGACATCCAGGTGCGGACTGCATGGAGAGACACCGGTGACTAATAAAATATTCAGCAGTTGCTGCTGTGGCCTTAGCAAGGACATGCGGCAGAGCCCACTGATGCCTGAGTGTGAGGAGGTGCACCGGGATTTGCAGGAAGGCCCATTTAGGAAGGAGGCAGGAGCCTCTGAGGCCCATTGTACAGGAAGCATTTAAAGAGTTGGCCCCCTGGGAGCTCTAATGTGCTTCGATTTGGCCATTTATAAAAGGGAAGGAACTATTAGGACTTGGAAAAGATGTCTGGCCTGCACCATTTAGAGGACACGGGTCACCCTGTGTGTCAACAAAGGAAGAGGGTCATTCATAAAGCCCTAAGTCCATTCGTCAGCCCTACAATCCAGCTCACCAGCCCGGGCATGTGGTGGTGGGGGACGTGCTGCTGTGTTTCTCTACTTTCTGGTCAATTATAACAATTTGCAATCAAACGTTTGCTCTCACGTGTGGTCCATCTCCAAGCTGTGTCTGTAGACACAGATGGCACTTTGTCCAGCTCAAAACCACCTCCTTCCATTGGACAAGGACAATGATCTTATAACCAACGCCCTCTGCCAGTTGGTGATGGGGCTATGATGCATATCTCTGCCTCTGGTCACTCATCAGACCACACAGCTCACCGACAGCCAAGTTGGAGAGACACAAAAATGTGGAGAAAAATGAGTTTTAAAGATGCCAAAGCTAACGTGTTAGCAAGATTTTAAAAATATGTTTTCCTTGGCTTGTGGAGAACAGAGAACAGACCTTTTCTCAAACTGCATCTCCTTCAGCCATGATGTCTTCCCTGAAACATGGAAGTATAAACAGAGAACAACATCCCTTCCAAATACTGGTTTAGATGCAGGCCGAGCACAGTTGCCAAAGGAGAAGAACAAAATCGGAAGCAGAAAAGCAAATTATTCTTGAAGGCATCAAAGTTTCCCAAACAAAGGAGAGTGCAGTTTCTTTGTTAAGGAGGGGGGGGGAAAGCCATTATGGAACATCCTTTACCCTTTAATGCTGATGTATGATAAAAATGCTTTTGCTCTGATCTGTGATCTGCCGTTCAGCTTTGCCTTTCAGAGACTCTCTGGCTTCAGTATCCTTGAGAAAGGGACTTACTGAATGGCTTTATACATCTTTCAAGTAAAGATTAACAACAATAATAATAAAGTAATAAATTGGCCCCAAATCTTGGCACAACCTGAAACCATATGTTCTGAGAGTTGCTTTATTCACTGGTAATTAAGTTTTCTTTTCCCCCCACAAACTGAGACTGTTTTTTTGGATCCAACAAATAGCTTTAGGCATGTGGGCATCTTGATGGAGCCTCCTCGTCTAAGGATCAAATCCTGGCTAGCTGTGTTTGAAGTTCAGAGCCCTGCATGACATCTGAGAAGCGTTAATAAAATAGTAGTACATATGTGAAGTTATTCTGAAACTCCAAAGACTTCATCCCAGGAGGCATGTGTAGTAACGACTCACTGACTTGAACACCACCACAAAAGGAGGGTCTCCAAGTCACTCTGACATGATGGAATCACACATATGTCTTCATGCCCCAGGCCACCCAATGAACTCAGGTGTGGGGATGCCATCAGAAGTCACTGAGCATTTGAGTATATACACAGCTTGTTTGTCTTGAGTTAGTGCAGCCTTGCAAAACACAGATGTTTTCCTTTTAATCCTGTTTGTACTTTGCAATGGTCACACTTGGTGTCATTTGGCTGCAGAAATCCCCTCTAGGAATGATCCTGCAAGAGAAATAGTGTGTGTATGGAGCCATCTGATTTGGGGCAGCTCCCTGCTTCTCTGCAAAGCTGAGCACAGTTAATTTATTGGAACAGAATGGGTTATGAGGGTGAGGACGAACATATAAATACCTCTTTTTTTAAATGCTAACTGCTAACTTTTTTTAATGCTAATAGAATCTAGTCATCTGGCCCTTCAAGGTACGTTTATGACTATGTTTAATGTACTTTTGGACTTTCACTCCTCCACCAGGATTTCTTGGCTTTCCTGAGAGAGGTGCATGTCTTCGGATTCAAGAGCTCAGACTAATGGCAAAGAGTCTGTGTTCAGGACTTGGACCTGCTGCTTCCTAGCTGTGTGGCCTTAGGCAAAGTACTTTACCTCTCTGGGCTGTTTCTTCATCTGTAAAGAGCAGGTACAAGGAGCTATGTCATAGGGCTGTTGTGAAGATTAAGGAGGATCCTGCGCAGAAGCGCACAGAGCAAATGTGTAACACATGTTTGTTATTCTTTTTATCTGTGCTCCTCATTTCAGGCAGGCCCTTGAGCTCAAACTGCATAAAGAGCCTGCTCAAGGATCAGAGCCTTATAATGAAGCAGACGGTGTGTGTATTTCTCTTCTGCCCACAGAAACACCCACCTCACCCCCTCCATGAAGTTCGATACGAACCATGAAATCATCACAAAGCTCTTGCCACTGTGGTTCCATGGTGCGAATTTTGGAACAGCTCTAGAGAGACGGTGGGTCCTTGATGAATAGGACATGGGGCAGGTCAGTTTGGGGGCATAAAGGAAGATCCGGATTCAGTAATGGTTAATTAGGAGGCTGCTCTGTGCTGGGAAATGTGTTAGTCTATTTTCATGTGTGGTTTTTTTGTGACACCCACGACACAGATCTATAGGACGGGTATCATCGTGATTTCCATTTTATAGATGCAGTTGAGCTTTAGGGAAGCTACATAATTTGTCTGCCCATCCAAAAGTTCTCCTCTGCCTGCAGGATAAAGTCCCAGAGCCCAGGGATTCTCCATCTAGCCATCTACACATCTCTTCCATCCCCTACCTTATCCCTCACTGTCGCCCAAAGGAAACCCGGTGTTCTTTTGCCTGCCTTAAAGGAGACTGAGACTCCCACAGCCAGCAGTGTGACCAACAGAAAATCCAACCCCAAAAAGCACTGAACTTTAATGATAGTCCTTACTGACAATTTCTCATTGAAGGCCTTCACACACAGAGGGATGTCCTAAAAACCCACTTTCCATGCCTCTCTCCTCAAAGCCCTGGTTCTAATGGGAGCTGCTCATCTCATTTTCTTCTCTCCTTCATTAATTCCTTAATGCTCCTCCCTTGTTCTCTTCTGCAACCCACCCCCTGTCCTTCCTCGAGGGAGGGAAAGGGGCCAGCTCTGGCCTTCCGCCCCGGCCCCGTCCCCTCCCTGCACAGGTTAACACAGCGAGGCCAACAGGGAGGGTGGTTGGAAGATTGCTGATATGTCTGTTACCTTTTTTTTTCCTTTATCGGATTCATGCTGTAGTCTAGCAAAACTGAGCCGGGGATCGGCTTCCTGCATGCGCCTTACCAGGTCTTTTCTCTCAAGACTAGCTCTGCCCAGGCAGAGCCCCCAGCCCCTCCCCTGAGTGAACAACCGCTTCACCTGGATGACAGGTGCAGGTGCCTTCCCTGGGCTCCCATGCATCCCCAATTATAGCTCTCACATGGTGGTCACCGTACATTGTTGGATTATTCATGTATAGATCTGTCTCCCACCTTATTTCCAGTCTCTTGAAGGTCCCACAGCAAGCTCTGCACAGATGATGGCTTCTGTTGTTTTTTAGGATGGTTTAAACAAATAAGAATTGATTCTTCTCAATGAAAAAGACAAGAGTCTTTAGTTTGGGTTCCATATTTGTCTCTTTTTTTTTAGGGGGGAAGAGGCAGAGGGAGAGAGGGAATTTCAAGCAGGGTCCACCTGGAGACAAGAGCCCGCTGGGGGGGCGGGCCTGGATCATGACCCTAAGCTCATGACCTAAGCCCAAATCAAGAGTCAAGGTTAACCCACTGAGCCACCCAGGTGCCCCTGGTTTCCATATTTGAATTGCAATATTCTGTGAATTTTTCCTCACTTGTTAAATGTGTTCTATTAGGTATAAGGTCTATTTTATTAAAATTCAACTTTAGTAACTTGAACTCACTGTACAAAACAAAGTTAATTTGCCAAATATATTATAAAATAAGTTACTTTTCCTTAAATTTGGACCTTAGACAATACTGATTGCATTCTCAAGGCCCTCCAAATAAATCATGAGGTCAACCTGACTCCAGTTTTCCTATGCAAAAAAAAAAAAAAAAAAAAAAATGGGGCTGTTACAGGTGTTGACTCAGCAGCTGCCATGGGCAGATAGGGCTAGCCTCTCCATGGTCCCGTGGCCTTTCCCTCCTGCTGGAAGCCCCATCACCGCAAGATGGCTCTGGGGTTCTAGATGGTGCATGTGTTCAAGAGAGGGAGAACTAGGCAGCCAAGCGAGGCAAGTCAGCTCTCTGAACTTCTACCAGAAATGCAATGGCTCTCCTAGAACTCAGCCCAGCTGTGGACGTGAACCAAGGTATCTCACTGGCCCCTGCTGGGTTGCAAGGCATTCCCTAGCTTGTTTAACAGAGTCTTGTGATGGGATGTTTTTGCGTTTATTTGATTATTTTTTTATGGGAGTGAAACCCACAGGACATAAAGTAACCACATGGAAGTGAAGGATTCAGTGGAATTTAGTACGTTCACTAGGTTACAGCACACCTGTACCTAGCTCCAAAGCATCTTCATCACAGGGAAGGAGACCCAGCCCTCAGTAAGCCGTTTCTCCTCATCGCTCCCACCCACTGCCCCTGGTAACCACCCATCTGCTTTCTGCCTCTGGGGCTTTACTGAGTCTGCGTACTTCCTGTAAATGGAATCCTACCACATGTGACCTTTGGCATCTGCCTCTTTCACTCAGCATCGTTTTTGAGGTTCAGCCCCATTGTTTCGTCTATCAGAATTTTGTTCTTTTTTGTGGATGAATGCTTTTGTATTGTATGGATGCCCCACAATTAATCTGCGCATTCATCTGCTGATGGACCTTTGGGCTGTTTATCTTGTGACTTGAGCCCAGCCATGCTGGCTCCAATTCCCCACTGTGGACCTCTGCAGAAGGCCTGGGCCCCAGAGGGAAGAAGTACATAGAGGAGGCTCTGGGGGTGCCCTGGTTGCCTGGAGGGAGTGATCATGATCCTGGAAGGGGGGGGCCTTCCGGGGGGGGTCCACCTGGGAACCTACTAGAAACCATCTTCGCCTACTTCCCAATCCTGCCACGGCCCGATGAGTACCAGCCTTTTGGGAGAATTTGCCTTCTGCATCCACTTAGAACCACCAAGAAAGCAGTAGCTCACCTGGGGTCATCCAATCCAGGACTGCCTTGGCTGGAGCCCAACCAAGAACATTCCTCAGCACTGGTGTCGTTTTATGTCGTTCTTATTAGTAATCACATAGGATTCATAGCCGGTTGACTCTTTACTCTTGCCAGAGGCTGATAAATTGGCCAGACGCAAGGATCATTCTTCAATAATTAAAAGCCTTTATGGCTTGCAGGAAGAAGCAAATTTTTGAGTATGTGAGTATCCACCATGGATCTGTGCAGTGCCCCTCCCAACCAATTGATGTCTGCATCCACTGTTGGCTGGTGAACTGTTGACCTTTGACTTGGCCTCTGGGACCTCAGTTCAGCCATTCAAAGGCCCTACTAGATATCTGCAGAGATCAGGCACTTTCAGGTGTCCCCTGGCATTTGCATATGAACTAACTGGTCCAGGGAAACAAAAGGATGGTCCCTGAATGGTCTCAGCATCTAGGAAGTTTGCATGGAGCTACTGTTTCAGCCCCTTTCAATTCCCTGCTCTGGAAACGTATCCCTAGTATCCCTAGTATCCCTAGCACACCATCCTGGGCCCCTAGGGAAGGACCCAGGAAGGAAATGCCCAGCCATCAGCTTATGACAAGTGAAGGGAAGGGTTAGACATGATACACAAAGGCACCAAATGGACAAGTACAGTCCAGGATGACTTAACTTTGCTCAAAAGCAGAGATTTTATCTTAGGGTGAGGCACCACTGCATCATGCTCAAAAGATCTGGCTTTTGAGTCAAAAAGACCTGAGTTTGGTTCCACACTCTGCCACTTACTAGCTGGGTGACCTTGGGTAAGTTACTTTGCCTCTCTGAGCCTCTGTCCATTCTCACAAGGAGGAAGTAGGATAATTCTGTGAAATGCAGTGCCTGCCACAAGATGAGAGCTCAGTAAACTAGTAGCTGTTAATAATTTTCATGACTCCTCACTTCCCCATTTCACTTGCCCCGTGGATCCAGACAGATCTGCCAGGACCCCTCCTCTCCAAACCTCCCCCATTTCGGTCATTCCAATCCAAGGTTTTATGGACTCACAATCTTGCCGGGGCATTTTTCTTAGGGGGCCCTCTTTGCCAGGATGGGCTGAAGATTATAAAGTGTGGTTAAGAGTTTCAAGGTCAAACCTAGTACTTCCTATGAAAATAAAAGATGGCAGTACATTACGTTGTCAAGTTAATACAGTGTGATAGAGCATCTCCAGACTGCACATCCTGGAAGACTGTAAAAGTCTAATAGATTTAGGGAAACTGTACCTCGGGGAGCGCATTAGACAGCACTCATCAATGGATCAAAACTGTCTTGGAGGCTCCTTTCCCAGGGAACAGCAGTGCCCCTTAAATGATTGCTCTCCCTTCAACAACCTGGAGATAAATTGTACTTCATACATTAACTTTACACGAATGGGCCACTTATTTTGACTGGAGAGTGCACCTTATTTTACCCTAAATGAAAAAGCATATCCTTTGAAAGCCAAATTCTGCATTCTTTTAAATTACTGTAAAATGACATAACGCCATATTAATTTCCCTAGCTCCATCTCTGCTGATTTCAGATGTGTTTGGACACATTTAACTTTGTGCCCCTATTGGTGAAGTGTCTCTAATTATTCCAAAGGATGGTTTGATGCATTCAAGTTTTAATCAGATATACAATTAGCAGAGTGTAAAGTTTATGCCTATGCTCCTAGGAAGGCATCATTTGGATGAGCTTTGATCCTGGGAAGAAATGCCATTTTACAATGGAAATGTTAACAAAAATAACCTAACTGGACCATATAGACTTCTTAAGAGTTACCACGTGAAATCATCGATTTATTTTCCTCATTTTACACACTCTTAAAACCTGAACAGTCAGTTAGGAGTCATTGTTCCAAGGAGCTGAGGTTGGATGAGGAATAGCGCTTGACAGAGTCTTGCCCCTTGCTTCTCATGCATCTCTCCATTAGTTGGAATTTAATCTCTTCCATGGGGAGGACTGTTCAAATTGAGTAATTTAAACCCCCTCTAATTTAAATAGGCAATGCATCATGGTACCCCTCTGGGACCAGGCCATCAGATAGAGCATCCATTACCAGGGTCTTGACTCCTTGGGTTCAGAAACAAGACGCTGTGGGGGGATATTATGCCCATCACTTCTCCCACAAGTTTGCCGAAACAGTCCTAGGCCAGCCCAGATCACAAGGCAAGGGAAACAAGCCCCATGTGTTGATGATAGGATTGTCAAAATGTGCAGCTGCCTCAAATCCACCACTGCAATCACAAACACATGCACGGTGGTGGTTGCTTTGGAGACTGTTACCATTTGAGCCCCGTTGTTAAACCATACTGTAGAAAGGAGGTTAACAAATATGCATGTTCAACTAAGCAAAGAGCAACTTAACGTAATTTCTAGACTCTTTACAAAATAAATTTGATTTATTCTTGTTCCTCATCCTCTAATTCTAAGTGATTTCCAAGAATCACTAAATATGGTCCATTTTGCTTTCTAAATATTGTGCAGATTTCCACTTCTCTCCATTTCCACCATCACCCTCTTCACCACCCCCCCACCACCATCACCACCACCATGATCGTTATTATTACCAACACTGCCACATCGCCACCACCACCACCACCATCACCACCATCACCATCACTACCACCACCATCATCACCACCATCACCACCACCATCACCACCACCCCCACCACCACCATCACCACCATCACCATCACTACCACCACCATCATCACCACCATCATCACCACCATCACCACCACCCCCACCACCATCACTACCACCACCATCACCACCACCACCACCACCACCATCACCACCACCATCACCACCATCACCATCACTACCACTACCACCACCATCACCACCATCACCACCATCATCACCACCACCATCATCACCACCATCAACACCATCATCACCACCACCATCATCACCACCACCACCACCATCACCACCATCACCACCATCACCATCACTACCACCACCACCATCACCACCATCACCACCATCATCACCACCACCACCACCACCATCACCATCACCACCACCACCATCACCACCATCACCACCACCACCACCACCATCACCACTATCACCATCACTACCACCACCATCACCACCACCATCACCACCATCACCACCACCATCACCACCACCACCACCACCATCACCACCATCATCACCATCACCACCACCACCATCACCACCACCATCACCATCACTACCACCACCATCATCACCACCATCATCACCATCATCACCACCACCACCATCACCACCATCACCACCACCATCACCACCATCATCACCACCATCACCACCACCATCACCACCATCACCACCACCATCACCACCATCATCACCACCATCACCACCACCACCATCACCACCATCACCATCACCACCACCATCACCACCACCATCACCACCATCACTACCACCACCATCACCACCATCACCACCATCATCACCACCATCACCACCACCACCATCACCACCATCATCATCACCACAATCATCACCACCACCACCACCATCACCACCACCATCACCACCACCATCACCACCATCACCATCACTACCACCACCATCACCACCATCGTCACCACCACCATCACCACCATCACCACCACCACCCTCACCACCACCATCACCACCATCATCATCACCACCATCACTACCACCACCATCACCATCACTACCACCACCATCATCACCACCATCACCACCATCATCACCACCATCATCACCACCACCACCATCACCACCATCACCACCATCATCACCACCATCACCACCATCATCACCACTACCACCATTATCACCATGATCATTATCATTACCACTGCTACCACTGTCACCATCAGTACCACCTACACCATCACCGTCACTGTCACCATCACCACCCCCAGCACCCCCACCATTACTACCACCACCATGATATTCATCCAAGCAACCTCCATTTCACCGCAGTAGCCTCCTGACTATTTAACTGCGCCATCCTGACTTCTTTTAGTCTAGTTGTCCCACTGCAGAGTGATCATTTCAAAGCCTGGTCATGTCACAGAGCCTTCTTATAAAACTCTCCAATGGCTTCCCAGCATCCTTAAGATAATAAAGTTATTTATCATGGGGCACAAGCCCTTCTACCTCTCTAGCTTCATCTCACATCAGGTTCTACTTTGTTTCCTTTGCTCCAACCTAATCCTTTCCATTTCTTGTTTTTGAAATATTTTCTCAACCCACATATTTTGTTAAACATCGGCTGCCATTTCCTCAGGCTGTACCTTGTCAGTAGAGCTGCAGTCTTGATGGGCTTTGAGAAGACTGGGGGAACAGGCAGTTCCTCCCCTACCTCCAGACAGATGTCCCTCCCTGTTCTCATAGTTTGTGCATCTCTGACTGACCCAACTCAGGAATAGCAACACTGTGCCAGAAGGGCATGGGCAAGTTGAACTAACCATCCCATAAGCTGAGCCATTATCTCTTTGAGCTGAGAGTCTGGCAGGCTATCTCATGAGCACATGCTGCTCTTGGGCTTAACAAACCTACAAAACTCAAGTCCCATCTAAGGGTGACCCAGGGTTCAAATTGTCTAAATGTATTGTGTTCCATAGCTTATACATACATAGAGATCTAAATCAAGGTTTCCACCAGGATTGGGCATGAGGGAACGAGGACTGTTTTCTTTTCCCATGTCTCCTTTTGTTCTCTCATCCTTTGAGAAGCATGTCCAGTGTCACACCCTCCTTCCCTGAACTCATTTGTGAAGCTACCTCCCTCTCATTCATGATGATCCTACAAAGGACTTTCGAAGAGCAATAATGAAAATCAGAACCGTCCCTCATGCCTAGAGACAATCTAACCCTAAATCAGATAGAGAATATAGCTGGGGAACAAGAATTCTGCAAGATGAAAAATTCTAATCTCAGCTCTTTCACTAAACACTCAGGATCCTCACCTGAAAAGGGGAAGAATTTCTGCCTCACCTTGACAGGGAGGGAGTTCAGAATTTCTCACCCCACACAGCCTTCCTCAAAGCTTCCCGAATTCTGAGTTCTCATAACCCCATTTCCTTTATTATAAGTCCCCAGATGCAATGAACTGAATGTTGATATTCCTACCCCCCAAATTCATAGGTTGAAATCCTAGCTCCCAATGTTATGGTACTAGGAGGGAGCATTTTGTGGGATGATGTGGGATTCATGCCTTTATAAAAGAGGCCCCAACATGCTCCTTTCCCCCTTCCACCATGTGAGGACATAGCCAGATGGCCATCTGTGAACCAGGAAGCAGGCCCTCACCACACACAGAATGTGCCAGCACCCCGACCTCGGACTTCCCAGCCCCAGAACAGCAAGAAATAAATATTTGTTGTTTAAGCTGCCCAGTCTATGATATTTTTGCTATCGCAGCCCAAATGGACTAAGACACCAGCCCCAAACACAGAATTGAATATATAGTTGCTAATGATTGCTCACTAACAATTTCACATAGTTCAGATTTCTTGTCCCAGAGAGATGGTAAAGCTTCCCCAGGGCAAAGACTGAATCTTTTATATCTCTGAAATAACAAGGACATAAAGGGAGCTTTCTGGTGGGCTGGAGATATTCTGTACCTTGATCAAGGCAGGGGTTACCCAGGTGATACCTGTGCAAACAGTCACCAAGCCCAAAACTTAAGCTCTGTGTACTTTACTGTACTATGCTACCCTCTGTAAAACTGAAGACAGTGGTAATGCTCTGACAATTTATTCAACACCCACTATGGACCAGGCACTGGGCTATGGGTCTTATGTATATTATTTTTATCCTCATAAGAACTGGGTGAGGTTGTTATCATCCTCACTGAACAGTTGAACAAACTGAGGTTCAAAGAGATGAGGTAGTTTGTCCAGGGCCCCACAGCTGGTCAGTTCTGGAGTCATGGTCCCCATTCAGGCATATTTGACTGAGTCTCATGTTCTTCCCAGCTGGACTCACCAGGGCCTCAAGGGAAAAAGAAACATACGGGCATGCATACAGACACACGTGCACACATACGTACCCGTACACACACTTACTCAAGATGAGCTTTCAAACTAAAATTCCAAAGTACATCTTATAAAAACTGACAAACAGGGGTGCCTGGGTGGCTCAATCAGTGTCTAAAATCAAGTGTCTGACTCTTGATTTCAGTTCAGGTCATGATCTCCGGGTCATGAGATTGAGCCCCGAGTCAGGCTCCACGCTCGCTCAGCGGGGAGTCTGCTGGAGATTCTCTCTCTCTCTCCCTCTGCCCCTCCCCACCTGCTCTCTCTCTATCTCATGAATAAATAAATCTTTAAAAAACGACAAATTCATCCTTCCCAAGGAAATACAAATACGAGAGCAATCTGAACAGACTTGCAGAGGATCAACCCGTAACAGTGTTTCCCAACCCCTCATGTGCACTGAACCACCTGAGTGTCTTGTTAAAATTCGGATTCAGATCCAAGACATCTGGGGTGGGATCAGGAGTCTACATTTCTCACAAGCTCCAGGGGATGTGATGCTGCCGGTCTGCGATCCACACTTTACAAAGTCAAACATCAGAGCATATTTCAATGCACATGGGATCAATCAAATCATTAGTAAAACACGAGAAATTGCTTAGAAAATTAGATAATAGTTCTTGCAAATACAAAATATTGGCATTGTCCCCGGACAGGGTAAAAACGAAAATTTCATCCGATGTGACACATTTGAAACCCATTTCTGACGGGTCCAACCTGAAGCCTGGAGGTCTCTGGCTGCCAGGTATCAAGTTGCCCGACAGCCCAGCCCACCTCAGCTCCCAGAGACAGCAGAGGAGGTGACCCATGCTCTCTTTCTGTCGGAGGGAGCCCCTGGGCTCTGCTTATAGTCCTTGCCAGTGGCTTTCACGCCTGCAGCTACAGGTACGGCACGGCTGGCTGCTAGAACAAACCCTGAGTCTGGGTTCACAGGTGAATGCGAATCACAACCTCTTATCCCCACAGTCCTTTTCTCTTGCCCTCCCTACACCCCAGATTTTGACCCACGTCAGTCTGCATGTTAGCAGCACACTCACAAAGGAAGGGTAGAAGAACTGTCAGTTTGCAAAGTACCTGTCCTCAGTTCAGACAGAAAATGGGATTCAGCGCCAGGTTGACCCACAGCAGCTGTCTCATTCATTACTGAGAGATCAAAATAGCTGCTGGTAAGAACTCATCTAACTTAGCTTGACATACCTTGCAGTCCGTCACAAAAAAACTTCTTGTTCAGCCAGCTCTTGTATCCTGACCAACAAATTTGCTCCCTAAAAATCACACAGTGGCTCAGCAAAAAGGAGAAGAAAAAAATATAGAGAGAGAGAGAGAGAGAGGAAAAAAAATATATATATAAGAGAGAGAGAGAGTTCCCCGTAAAGGTAGCCCTGAGATCTCAAGAATGTTATTCTTTGATTTTTGCTGCAATTTGGTGGAATATTATGCTGAGAAGGAGATTTTCTCTCTGTGTGTGCCTTTTTTAATGTCCCAGGCAGGCCATGAGGGAATGACAATCGGAAGGCTGAGTGCATGCGAGGAATGTAAGAGAAATACGGGCCTCAGTTCAGGAACTCAGAGGTGGTCATCAGCAGCAAGTTAGCAAGTTAGGTCTGGAGCTGCCAAGAACGTTCACCCCGATAGCTGTCTCTTTTATGAGATGCTGATATGCAGGGTCTGCACAGCATTACCAGTGGCTTTGTGGACAACCCTGTTATAAGCCCTCCGCAAAGATCCAGCTATTTGGCTGTTGTTATGGGAACGGTACAATTATGGCCAAATTGGAGTGGTGATGGGGGACAGAAAAGAAAGAGGATTGGGGGTGGGCAAAATTGCTATTTTTGCCCAAACGCATTTTGGCTGATCCCCTGCACTGAATGTGAACAATTGGGAAGGGCAGGTAGCAGAAACCCTGCTTGGCTTCATGGATTATATATCTCAGTTTTTGCTGGGAAAAAAAAAGAAAGAAAGAAAGAAATTGCCTTTAAGAGAGGAAAGATCACGTCCTCTTACTTTCTTTGTAATTTCACAAAAATACTATAATTGTGCATCAGAGCAGGAAGTTCAATGATGTTCAAATATTCTATGTGGCATCTTTACTTTTGTTACTGAAGTTAATACATGTCTGAAATATGTAATTTTGCAATTTAAGGTTTTTGATTGAAAAATCTGAAGTATCAGTCAATAATCTTCCAAAAGGATTGTTATCATTATCCAAGCAAGTCAGGCAAATGCCTGTCTACAAGCTAATTAAGATAGCAATTGAAACGCCAGGGCAATCCATGCTCTATGAAACGGAGCTGCTTTTTCTTTTTCTTTTTCTTTTTTCTTTTTTCTTTCTTTCTTTCTTTATTTTAAAGATTTTATTTATTTGAGAGAGAGAGAATGAGAGAGAGCAAGCACATGAGAGGGGGGAGGGTCAGAGGGAGAAGCAGACTCCCCACCGAGTAGGGAGCCCGATGTGGGACTCGATCCAGGGACTCCAGGATCATGACCTGAGCCGAAGGCAGTCGCCCAACCAACTGAGCCACCCAGGCGCCCCGGAGCTGCTTTTTCAAAGCCATAGGGGGGAAGAGAGGTTACTTTCCCTAAAAATGGCAACATAAGTTCACACAATGCTTCCCTCCTTC